TTACAGAGCAGAAAGAGATTTGTTTGGGTTTCAGCTAAACCACTTAAAATCTGTGTGGTGATTCTATAAATCACCACAAGGCTTAGAACTTCAGCTTCCTCTTCTATACCTGCACTGTAAACTCCACAAGATTGATTATCATAAAAATGCATTTTATTCATTCATGTAGTAAATATTTATGAATGGTCTTCTCCATACTGTATATTGACCTTGGTTCTGAAGATACATAGTTGAATAAACAAAGTTTCTATGCCTCAGAGCTTATGTAGAGGGAAACAAATTGTAAATTAATCAACAAATAGATAAATACCATTATCAGGAGTGAAGGAGATGAGGGCTGCGGAAGGAAGGAGCTTTAGTATTTTAAACAGCATGATCCAGAAATAGATATCGGAACACAGGTCTGAAGGAAACAAGTGAGTTTTGCAAAAAAGATGAGGGAGGATGACATTCAAAGAGCCTGAGGTGAGAGTGTGCTTTGTATTTATGAGGAACAGCAGGGACAACAGTTTGGCTGAGGCAGTTAATAGGGGAAGAGAAATAGTGAGGTCAGAAAGGTAACATGGAACTAAGTCAAGTAGGTCTCTATAGCTCATGGTAAAGATTTTAGCTTTTACTCTGATGAAGATAGAAAGCCATTTTTGTCTTAAGCAAAGAAATGGTGTACCATGGCTATTTTTTTTTTAAAGATCATTCCAGCAGTTATGTGGAAAATAGGCTGTGTAGCAGCCAGATTTGAACCAGTTAGGAGGTTGTGGCAATAAAGCAGTTGAGAGATGACAGAGAGTTGGCTCAAGCTGACAGAAAAGATGTTGAAAAGTGCTCAGATTGGGGATATATCCTGAAGGTAGCACGAACAAGCCTTCTGGGAGGATGGAATGTCAACTCTAAGTGGAAAAAGAAGAGTTAAGAACAATCTCAAGGTCTGTCCTAAAAGTGAGAGAATGGAGTTGCTGCTTTGGGGGATGGGAATAATACTGCAGAATGACCAACAGAGGGGCTGGCACATTACTGTAACCTCAGTATTGCAAATACTGGTTTTGAAACACCTCCTGTCAGCTGAATGATGATGAAGTTGGCTACATGTATCTGCAGTTCAGGAAAGAGGTCCAGGTTGGAGCTATACAACTGGAATTTGGCAGACTATTTAAAAACCTCCGGAACAAAACAGATTACCTCTAAGGGGTAAGTTGAAAAGAAATAATTGTGGGGACAGAGTATGAGAAAACCCCAACATTCAGACACACAAGGAAAGAGAGAGGCACAGCAAAGAAAAACTAAGATAAAAAGCAGCCAATGGAATAACAAGAGGAACAAGATAGAGGAAAATGAAGACAGTGTTTGGTAGTGGTCATTTCATTGGTAGTGATGCAGTTTGGCCAAATAGCACATAGATAGCAGATAAAAGTCCAACTACATCTATAATTACATTAAATGTAAAGGGATTAAATGGCTCACTGAAAAGTCTATTATTAGCTGGGTTTGTAATACACAACTTTAATTCCAGCACTCTGGAAGACTGAGGCAAGGAGGGTCACAAGGTTGAATCCAGCCAGGACAACTTAATGATTTAGCAAGACTCTATTTCAAAACATAATTTAAAGATTAGAATAAATTTAAATGGCTGGGGATGTATTTCAGTGCATAGGCTGGGAGGTCAATCCCCAATAGCAAGAAAATTTTCTGTTATTAACAAACCAGATTAAAATACAAAATGTAACACGTTGTGTTGGTCAGCTTTCCATCACTATGACAAAATACCTAAGAAACTCAGCTTAAGAGGAGAAACATTTATTTTGACTCATGGTTTCAGATGTTTCACTACATGGTCACTTGGCTATATTGTTTCTGGACCCAGGATAACACAGAAATCATAGCAGAGAGCATCCAGTTGAGCAAAATTGCGCACATCATGGTAGACAATAGGCAAAAAGAAAGAAGGAAGGGCTGGAGATTTAGCTCAGTGGTTCCACTGACGCCTTGCAAGTGCAAGGACCCAAGTTTGATCCCCCGTACCAAGAAAGAAAGAAAAAAAAAAAAAAGAAAGAGAGAGAAGAGGAAGGGACTGGGGTAAGATAAAGTTCCCAAGGTTATGAACTCTGTTCAAATAGGATCCAGTCCTACAGTCCATTTAGCTATGAATTCATCAATGTATTAAACCATTGATGAAATTAACACCTGTATAATCTGATCACTTCTCAAAAGCCCATCAACTGGCCTTTGCGAAACATTTTGGATCCAAAACATAATATATGCTGGTTGCTAGAGATACACCTTAAGAATATAGAGTAATTAAGCATTAAAAATGATAAGATATACTATTCAAACACTACCTAAAAGAAAATTGCATCAACTATATTGATAGTGATAGTGATGCAAACTTAAGGCAAGAAAAATAATTAAGATGAAGTAAAATTTTCATAATTATGAAAGTGTTAATCCCCCAAGAGGACATTCAAATTCTCAATGTACATAAAAAATAACCTCAAAATATATAAGATAACTTGACAGAACTATGAAGAAATACTGATTAATTTACTCATAGTAGGAAATAACACATTCCTCTCAAAAGCTATAAGCAGGAAAAATTAGTAAGGATATATAAAATCTAAACAACACAATTAACAAATGTATATAATGACATTATCAAACATTATGCTTAAAAGACATGTCTCATGCACATTCTATTCCAGTGTGCATGAGACATTTATGCTGGCCATAAAAGAAATTTCAAAGGATTGACATTAATTCAAAATATGTTCTCTGACTACAGAAAAATAAAGCTGAAACTCAATAACAAAATAATTAGAAATCCCCCAAATACTTGAAAATTAAGCAATATACTTTTAAATAGGTCAAGGAAAAAAATTTTCAGTAGAAATCTGAAAATATCCTTAGCTAAATGACAGTAAAAATCTGACATATCAAAATTTGTGGAATGTGATTAAACCCTGCTTAGAGAAAACAATATATAGCCCTAAACACATATATTTTAGGAAAACAGAAAATTATATCTCAAGAAAAGAGAAGGAAGAAAGTTAAAAATGAATATCATAAATTAATAAACTATAAAATGTACTTTTAAGAAAGAAAATGAACCTGCCCCAAAGTTGGCACTTGTAAAAGAATAATAAAAATATTGAATTTCTGAGAAATCTGATTTAAAAAATAGAGAAGGCAAAATTGCCAATTTGAATGAAAAAGAAGACCTCACTTCATATCTTACACATGTTTAAAAATAATTATAATATTTTTGGAAAAATATAATGTTAATAAATTTGAAATTTTAGATAGAATTTAGATAGCAAAACAAAACCAACAAAACTGACATAAGAAGAAATAGAAAACCTGGAATAGTCTTATACCTATTAAAGATATTGAACTTATAGTTAACGATATTTATACAAAACAATCTTGAGGCACAGATGGCTTTCCTCCAAATGAATTCCAACTGAGTTCTTCCAAATATTTATGGAAGAAATGACACCAATCTTACATAAACATTTTCAGGGACTAGGAAAAAGAAAATATTTCCTAATTTGTTTAATGAGGTCACTGTAACCTCGACACCAAAAACTGATTAGGACATGAAGAAAAATTACAGACTAATCGGTCTTTTGAACAGAGATGCAAAAATACCAAACTAGCAAAGTACATTCAGTGAAAGACAAAGAGGAAAATAAATCATGAACAAGTTGGGTTTATTCCAGAAATGAAAACTTGGTTTCATAGTCAAAGTTTTACTGAAATTCACCACATTATCAGAATAAAAGAGAAAGTCATTTGACTATGAAAGTAGATGAAAAATAGCTTTTGATGAAATTGATCAGTTATAATTCTTAAATTAAAAATAACTTCATAAATAGAAACAAGAAAATTTTTATTTGTTACAGTGTTAAAAAGAACTACAGCAATATTGTTTTTAGTGATAAAATATTAAAAGCTTCTGCCTGAGTGAGCAAAGATTATTTTTCTACTTCTGCTAAATATTGAATTGAAGGTTTTAAGCATGCAAAAAAGTCAAGAATGAAATCATACAATATTCAAAACAAGGAAATCATTATTTGCAAAAATGACTGTGTTCATAGTAAATCCCCCAAAATTTACAAACTATTTTCAGTTATAAATGAATTTCAAAAAGATAAAAAGCCAATTGTACATAAAGACTATTTATATTTCTTTATAACACCCATACCATAGGGCAAGTAAAACATTAAAAGAATATTTTTATAATGGTATAACAATTACAAATGTTAATGTAAGAAATGAAAATCTAAACAAACGGAGAGCCATACATATTTACAATATTATAAAATGCTAATTTAATCCCCAAATTAACTATAGATTCAAATATTCAAATGAAATCCTAAAAAATTGTCATGGAACTTGATGAACCAATTGTTAATATTATAAGGAAATAGAAAGGTAAATAATTTAAAACAATCTTGAAGAAAAAGAACAAAGTTGAAGTCTTCAATTATCAAAAAATAAGCCCTACTTTAAAGATAGTATGCTAATAGCTGAGAACATGAAAGTAGCTTTATGAAATACAACAAAAGGATGTAAAAAGACCCATATTATAGAGTCATGTGTTTTACGACAAAGGTGACAGTGGAGTGTAGTGCAACAGCTGGATGGTCTTTCTAAATAAATGTTACTAAGCTAATTAAATGAAATGAATTTTGATCCTACTTCAGACCACACAGTTCCAGATGGGTTGTAGATCTACCGGTGAAAAGCAAAATAAAGTAAAATTATAAAGCTTCTAGAAGAAATTATAGGAGAAGCTCTTCGTGACTTTGAATGCAAAGAGTTCTCAAAAAGGAAAAGAACCACCAACACACATACATATACACAAAGATGAGCCATACAAGAAACAAGTGATAAAAAAGAAACAATTGATATATTAGACTCATTAAAATTCAGAACTACTAATTAAAAATACCATTCAGAGACTGAAAAGATAAATCATACAGTGAAAAGGATATTGTAATACATACATCAGCTGAAGGCCTCATAAATGTAAGGTATCTTCCCTGTGAATCAATAACAAATATGCAAATGAGTCCGTGGAATAATGAAGAGACTTGTATAAGCACTTCTCAAAAGAGGATATACAAATAGCCAATATAAAAATGTGCCTCACCTCACTAGATATCAGAGAAATGCAAATTAAAACCACAGTAAAAATATCAATACCAATATAATATTCATCAAAATGGGTACAATGGAAAATGTCTATAATGCTTGAAATTGTAGGAATATGGTACAACTGGAACTCTAACTCACTACAGTGAGCATGTAACCACTTTAGAAAACTAGCGATATTGACTAAAAATAGGTCAGGGATTTCGTTCAGTGGTCCTGCTGCCTGCCTCGCAAGCAAAAGGACCTGAGTTCAATCCCGGGTACCAAAAAATAAACACATATAAACTTACTCTATGAGACAAAATGTCATCCTAAATTGTGTATTTACTCCTATATATACACATATATCCCTAAAAGTCATGTACAAAATATTCCTAGACAGCATTATTCATAATAGCTAAAAATTTGGCATAAAATTATCTTAGCATAAAGACATAAAATATCTAGCTAGCAATAAATCTCATGACTAATATGCAAGACTGCCACGACCACTCCAGTGGAGTCTGCGTGACAATGCCGGTCACCTGGCAGAAACCAGACCCGAGGTGTCGTCCCCACGGGGTTAAGCCTCCTGGAAGTCCTTGGCACACACCGCATGCGAAGTCAGCCGTGAAGAGAATAGCTGGCCTCTCTGCCTGCAGTTTGGGGACATTGGGTTCATTTATAATTCTGTTCTATTTTGTCTTTATTACTATTTGTTCATTATCTGTAGAATTGTATTCTGGGCCCAGGAAAGATCAGGAACAATTAGATGTTCCTAGAGATGGGGAGGTGTTGGGGCACAAGAGGACGGGCGGCCAAAGTGCTGACCCTGAGCCCCGGACTGTGAAGTCCTGAAGGTGATCCTGAAGGTGACATGCTGAAGCCAGTCCTTTGTTTTACATACTTGCCCTTCTGATTGCTTATAGGTGTGGTCTTACCTTGACTTAGTGGTCTTAGCTTTTGTGATTGTATATAGGTGTGGTCTTACCTTGACCTTGTGGTCTTAGCTTTTACAGTACTATTGTCTGTCTTTCTCATGCCTGCTTGTGACTGAAATCACACTCTGAGGTGTGCCCTTGAAACTAGTATATATACACCTAGAGTTAGAAATAAAATTGCCGCAGCTACTACCTTCACTACTCAGTGCTGTGTGGTTTCTGACTGTCGCTGCCGAACCTGCTCCCACCTTTCTGAAGATCCCTATTCTCCTCGTGAAATCCAGTCTTTGCTCCCCTACGCTCGGTAGCACAAGACCTCTACACAATACAAACATTAGTGAGTGACCTAAATCAATCAAGGGTCACATCTAAAAATAAATCTAATAAAAGACACCCATCAAGAGTAAAATGGAGATGGTGCCAAAGTCCAGATCCTGAGCACATAGACCCAGCTGGCTTAAGTCACCTTGCTCTGAGACTATTTACGGCACAGTGGGAGACCCTCACACCACACAATGGAGGCAGTATTCTTTGAGGATGTCGCTTTGAGCCTCATTGTGAAGGAGTGAGCATTGCTGGACCCATTCCAAAGAAGCTCTACACAGATGTGATGTGGAAACCTTTAGGAACACAGCTGCTACAGGAAGAACTGGGATGACCGGCAAGCTGCAAATGAATGCAAATTTTGAAGGATAAATCTTAGAAGTGAAGAGGTAGAGCAATGCTGTCAGTAAAAATCATGGCTTAAATTGTGGCTTAAATGTATGAAATGTTTAAACAGAAATGTTTTTTTTTTTTTTTTGTACTTCAGATTCTAATGTGAACATAAAACTACCAAAAACGTTGTTTGTAGAAAGGCCCTGGTTGGTCATTCATCACTAATTGTGCCCATCATAGCTCACAGTGCACTCAAGGCATATGAGAATTAGGGATCTGAAGAGAAGCTGTCTAAATGTTGTGACGATGGGAAAACATGTAGTTATTTCCAGTCCTTTCAAAAGTATACAAAAACAATCCCTGGAGAGAAACCCTATGAACATATGCAATGTGGGAAAACCTACTCTGATCGCAGTGAAGGAACTCACACTGGGGAGAAGCTTCTTGTATGGAAGCAAGATGTAAAAGCCTTATGTATATCCATTTATGTTTAAATATATGAGAGAAAGGAGTGCAGAGAGAATTCCTATGTTTGTATACAAGGTGGAAAAGCTTTTAATTCTCACCACTGTATTGAAATTCATGAAACAGTTTATACTGGAGACAAATGCTATGTATGTAAAAAATGTGGCAAAGCCTTCACTAATGCAGACATAAAAAATTTACATTTTATGTAAATCTACATTTTATGTAGACATAAAAAAATCACACTGGAGAGAGATAAAAAGAGCAGAATGGATAGGGCTGAGGATGTGACTCAGTAGTAGAACAAGTGCTTATCATGAGCAAAACACTAGGTTTGATCCCCAAAGCTACAAAATAATAAAATAAAAAAGAGTGGAATGGATAAAATAACTCTATTGATATATTCAAATATTTTAATAATACACAGCAATAAAATCATATAAATTATAAGCTTCATACAAACTAATGTTGAACAAAAGAATTCAAACACAAAATCACATATTGTGTGATGTTATCTAGGAGTAAATCTAATTAATAATGTACAAGACATCTAAACATGAAAACACTAATGAGTGACCTAAAACAATCAAGGGACACATCTAAGAATAAATCTAATTCATGATGTCCATCAAGAGTAGAATGGATAGGGCTGGTGGTGTGGGTCAGTGGTAGATATTTTTCTATGTAAAATTCAAAACCAGACAGAACTAATTTTGGTGGTAAACTCCAAAAAAAATGATGGCGAAAATGTTGACTGAGAATAAGAGACTTATTGGTTTCCAAAATGGTCTCATTTTTTATCTGAGTGCTAGCTACATGAATGTGCTCAGTTATGAAATTCACTGAAAGATAACCTTATTGCTCATGTGCATATATATACATATATATATAT